ACCCTGTACCCACATGGAATACTGGGAAGAAGCTCCTGGATCCCAGCTTTGGATCAGCTCTGGCTGTTGCAGTCATTTAAGGGGTGAATCAGCAGATGAAAGTCCTTCCCTTTCGCTGTAAAATCTACCTTTCAAATAAAATGAAACAAATATTTCAGAAAAAAAGGTACCCATGGGGCAGGTTGTGGTGTAGCAGTTTAAGCCATTGCTCAGGATGCCTGTACATACTGGGATCAAGTCCAGCTTTAAATCCCATCTGACTTCCTGCTGATGTACATCCTGGGAGGCAACAGTGATGGATGGCTTAAGTACTTGGGCACCTGCCATCCATGTGGGAGACCCTGAGTGAGTTCCTGGCTACTGATTTTGGCCTAGTCCAGTCGCAGCTGTTGCAGGCATTTGGGAAGTGAATCAGGAAAAAGAAATGCTCTCTCTCCCCTCTCTCATTCTTTCTCCCTCTGCCTATATGATAAATAAAACGAAATTTAATAAAGTTTTTAAAATAGGAAGCTCACTTAAAAAAATAAGTGCATAAAATGTCCAATTATTTAAAGTGTGACTAGGAGTTTGTTTTCTATCCTCTTTGAAGTGCCTCTTTAAGCTGGATGAGTTAGATTTCAGAGTTGTTGTTTTCTTATCTTACTGTTTCTTAGCTGCAAATGTGATTTCCATCATGTGTTACAATGGATTTATAAGAAAACAAAGGTGGGAGTGGCTTGCCGAGATTTCCAGGGTTTACCACTTTACAGGAAAAATCCTGCATCCCAGGAAATTACTTTCCATGATGAAAACGAAACAAAACAACAACAACAAAAAAACCCCTCAGAGCAGTCATGATTGGTGGTTCTAATAATGGGTTATTCATTGTTAAGTGTGTTATGAACATGACCTTTATGGTCTGTTTTAGACTTTGCCTATTGTGTTAACAGTGTGATTAAGACAGTTAATCTGTAACACTGTGACTGCATTTTCTAAGAGTTTAGGTAAATAAAATGGTTACAGTATAGTGCCCAAATACTCCAGATGTCACTGATACAGAAAGTTATTATTTTATATATATGTGCATATTATAGTGTATATTATATGTTCATGTTAGCATAACATATATATTAGCATGTTACATCAGGGTGTTATAGACAGATGGAAAGAATAACATTTAATTATATAGATTGTAAAAGTATTTTTTTATTGTATGTATTTATTCAGTGCATGGGCTTAATTGTGTCCCCCTCCAAAATTCATATTTGGAAAGTCTCACTCCCAGTACCTTAGAATAACACCTTATCCAGAAATGGAGTTGTCACAGCAGTATTTACTGTCATTTGTTGCTGTCAGTGGAAAAAATATTCAAATGTTGTTGTGCCATAAAATTGTATTTTCAGAGAGTGGTCAAATGCCGTAGTTTAATTTGGAAATAACTTGAGGATATAAATGCAGAAAAATATTACTGTGAAGCAAGTATGTATGTCCTGTCAATTAAAAACTGATGATCTTTGAGGAACTTAACAAAGGGCAAGCTGTTAGTACCTGAGTTGTTTACTATGTGTCTATTGTGTCAAAAACTCATCCAATGAAAATAGTTACTCATTTTTGGAAAATAAGATAGTTTCAGAACTAACCAGAGAAGGGTAGCCACAGTCAACATAATTTTTTTAACCAAAACTTATTTGGAATCCATCCAGTCTGATTCAGAGAGTCTAAAAGTGATGGCTACGTTAGGCATAAGCGATCACCCATATGATCAATTGAAATGTTGGAAGGAGCTCTCTGAGGTTGGCTGGTCCACCCAACATGCCTGTAAATGGAACATGCATCGATGATTCTAGAGACTTGGAAAGTTCTTATGATTCTAAAGCCTTCTGTTGCTAGAAATAAAACATTAAGTATTGTATGCCCAAACATCTTTGCTGGAAGAATGTTTAGCATGAGATCATTATGTTGAACTTATACCAGGACGGGCCGGCGCCATGGCATAGTGGCTAAAGTCCTTGCCTTGAATGGGCTGGGATCCCATATGGGCATCAGTTCTAATCCTGGCAGCCCCACTTCCCATCCAGCTCCCTGCTTGTGGCCTGGGAAGGTGGTTGAGGACAGTCCGATGCTTTGGGACCTTGCACCCTAGTGGGAGACCTGGAGGAAGTTCCTGGCTCCTGGTTTTGGATTGACACAGCACTGGCTGATGTGGCCACTTGGGAAGTGAATCATCAGATGGAAGATCTTCCTCTCGGTCTCTCCTCTCTGTATATCTGACTTTGTAATAAAAATAAATAAATCTTTTTTTTTTTTTTAAAAAGAGTTTATACCAGGACTTAGTGTAATGTGGGACTCAGAGCTGAGATGCAAGCCAAAGTGATTACACATTTGACCATAGTCATTCTGCCACTATGTTGAAGAAAAGAGTGATATTCTAAAGGCTACTAGGATATCAGAGAAGTGCTGTTAGAAAAAGAAATAGAGTAAAAATATCCTACTACATGATGGGACAGAATGTCACTTTAAATTCAATATAGACAATAACCTTTCTGAATCCAGTTATATTTGCATTATCCTTTTAAAAAGTGTCACATTTATTATCTTAACACATATAATATAGCCAACTAGATTTAAGTACCGAACGGAAGGAAGCAGAGGAGCAGGAACATAAAAATATTGATACAGTCATACAGATCTTATGCAATTGATGAGTCCTAATGTGTGATAGTTGCCACTGTTAATGAGTGGCAGTAAATTGTACAGAATAACATAATTTCAAGTAAATGCCCATTCCTTGCATTTCTGTGTTGAGGTAACAAAATCTGGTGTATGCGTTTCTCCTACAGAGGTATTTTAGGCTGGTCCTGGCCTTCCAAAATGCGACTGCCCTCCTGTACACAACTTCCCTCACTTGCTGCTTTTAACATTCAGGTCATTACTCCTCCTTCCTCGCTTGTTACACATCTTAGATTCACTAAGGGTGATTAATTTAAGGGTGATAAAATGTTTTAGATTGGCCTTGGAAAAGCAAGGTTTGACAATCCAGTTCTGACTTCAAAAGCCATGAAATAACCTAATGGAAAAGTCTCTAAATCACGTTATACTCATTGGAAGCAGAAAGTAACTGGGACTTGAACAGGTACTCTGAGAGGAGTGCAGGGCATTGCAAATTGCACCTTAGCGATTCTCGCTGTGCCACAAAACTGGCCAAACAGTGCTGGCTTCTTTTTTTTTTTTAATTGCATTTAATTTTATAACAACGACAATCTGCCAGCTATGTCTCCAGACCAGAGTTAGTCTCCACAAGAAACTGTTGAATTCAGCTGGGCAACAAGATACTGGACTCTATGCAAGGCACATGCTTGCACTGAAAGAAATAAGACTAGATTTGATCTGTAATACTGCAATAAGGTGGAGCAATCCACCCCAGGGGGAGGGCAAGAGGAAGGGAAGGGGGAACAGTGCTGGCTTCTTCAGCCACCTGCTGCGTGCCAGGCAGGAGACCAGGAGCTAAGGACATTGCAGAGAGCTAGGCACAACCCTCCTTGTGAAGCTGACAGTTTAGAAAGGAAGACAGGCGTTAGAACAAGAGGGGAGGAACATGAGTGAGACACTAATAAGGACACATGTGGCCTACATCAGAGCATATACATTCGATGTTCAGCTCGCTCTCTGATCAGTAGGAAAAATTTCTGAAGTTTTGTCTATACCTAATGTATTGAAGGTGAGTATGCTATTTTTTTTGACATGCAGACTTAACTCTGATATAGTATTAGGAGTATTGGAGTGGCTCTATTTACCCAACATAAATTTTAAAAATATACTTAAGTTCTTGGCTGAGGAGTGAGTGGCTTTCGTGAATCAGCAGGTTAAATTGTTTGCAACTCCTGTATATTCTGCTGGAGTGCTTGTTTTAGACCAGGCCATTTGGCTTATCCAGCTTTCGATGGTTCAGCTGCTTGGACCCGTGCCACCCATGGGAGAGACCTGCATGAGCTTCATTCTTCAATCTGGCCCACTTCTGACTGCAGCCAGCATTTGCTAGTGTGCCAGTGGATGGAAAATCTCTGTGTTTCTGTCTTTCTTCTCTTTCTGTTGCTGTCTTTCAAATAAAAAAGTAAACAAGCATTTAAAATATGAAAATCTTGTAATATTTTGAAGTGTAATAAAATTTTTATGGAAAATGGCATTACAATGTTTATTTTGGTAGGAAAAGTTGAAATTCATGGATCTCATGTACTATCTCAAAGTTTATGAAAAATGCATGTTATGAAAAAACCACATTAATTTCAAAATTTTTTTACACCAAAATAAACTTAGAATTCCACATTTCCACAGGCTTTTTAAAAGCATGTTTTTTACTGTTGGCTTTCTATTTATTAACTCTGCTATACTTTTCATATTACCAAATGGGTAGAATGTAATAGAAACTGCTTACATTTTAGTAGGGTTTAAAGGTTTTTTAGTCCTAGGATCTTCAGTTTGATTTGTTTTAGACGAGATTTGGTGTGTGTAGTTACATTTGGCCTTGCGGACTGGCTTGTAGAATGTACAGTCATGCAGGGTAAGTACACATCTCAGTTCCAAGGTGCTCCTGCTTCAAAATGGTCTTAAACAAATAGTACTTAAAAAGTACTATTAGATACTTAGTTGCTGTAGAATTCCTCACCCTCTGAAGTTCACACAGCTTTATGATTTTTTCCTATGATTATTTACAGAATCCATTAGGTCAGTGAGACAACTACTTGAAATCTCTTTTTATAAGTAAACATTAGCTATATAAGTAAGCATAAGTGTATAATATACTCTGTTGTCTTAAATACAGTGAGAATTATAAGAACATTTCTAAATTCTTATGAAGAACATCTGCTAAGAAGTTGAGCAAGAAAAAGGCAGAAATTCTTTTGGTGCGCTTTGCTATTGATTGTTACATTATGCCAAGAAGCTACTCAGTATGTCTTTAGTACTTGGGAATTTTGATAAGAATGTTCTCCCTGACATGCTGCTGTTTTATGTTGATCATCTAGAAAGATGGAGTGCTGGGCTATATTGGGAATTATCGGCTGCTCGCGGAGCTTTCCAGCCCTTTTGTGAATCAACGGTGAGTTCCTGAGATCATTAGTTATTGTAAAGTTGTACTGTTTTGCTTTATTTTGGGAAAAATTTTGTCACCATTATACTGATGAGGAAAGGGAACCTTGGAAAGGACAGACTGTTTTACCCAAGGTCTCCAGCTAGGCAGTGGCAGTGCTAAGCTCTGAGCCCTGCTCTCTGTGGATGCTTCATTGCACCTTTTTCCAGACTTTTCTTTCACTTAGTGTAACATGCACTGAACTACAGAATCCAGTTGACTTTCTTATCTTGAATCCAGATCATATTCCTGATACTAACTTCCTCCTTTCCCCAAAATGTGATACTGACTGGATCTTAGTATCTTATTTTAAAAATCCTTTTATCTGTATGTATTCTTTAAATTTAAAATACTGCTTTTATTTCTATTATACAATACATAGTAACTATACTAACACTGTGTAACAGTGATTGCCAGCAGTGTTAGTATGTCCTCATGGTTGTGCCTCAGATCTCTAGAACTTTATCATATTGCAAAATTGAAACTCTTATACCCATTGAACATTAATTCCCACTCTGCCAAACCCTGACAAGGGCTTATCCATTCTGTTTCTAGATAGCTTCATATGAATGGGATCATACAGTCTTTGTCCTTTGGGGTTTGCCTTCTTTGACATCGTGTAAAGTCCTCAACGTTTAGATTGCTTGAGCTTCGTAACTATTGTCAGTCATACTGTCATGAACCTGGATTTGCAAATGTTCTCTTAAAAAGTTATCCAACCAATTCTGCTTTCCATCCTCTGACGTGGTTCTTGATGTCCTCTGCTGGCCTAGACGAGCTGGCTGTCTTGACTTCTGTGTGAAGCTGCGTATGCTGTTCACTGCATGGGCATTCAGCTGAGGAGGCCAATCCTGATATGAGCATTCCAAAGTTGGACCATGTATCTTGTGATTCTTGCTGTGGTCAGATTTGCATCTAACAATCTAGTTGGAGCCCCCAAGAAACCTTGTTTGGAGTAACCCAAGACCTGACTCTTGTCAGGATCAGGTGCGATTTGTCACCTGCACCAGCCAACACATGTACTGGTGAATGCACCTGCCTTGTCGTCCTGCCCTGAGTCCTTTTCATCACTGACTGATGGATGCTGTAGCCTAGCCCAACCTAGCTCTCTGTTGAACCAGCCCTTTCACACACCAGTGGGAACTGCAATTTAATTGGGGTTGGCCTTCAATAACTCCTACCTGGCCCACCACCAACCCAAGTTTTTGCATGTGCTGGGATGTGCAGTGGTATAGGTTGGCTTGTATATGGCTCTTGAATACACTTGTGATTGCCTCAGCTTAACTCAGCCTGACTCACTTCAAGATCCTGTTCACAGGTATGCCAAGGCTTCTGCCCCCTTGTCTAGCCTGGTCCATATCCAAACTTGGCTTTCATGTTCACCACTGAGAGGTAGCTGCAGCTTAGCAGAGGAGTGCACGAAGTTCTCCTGCCAGTCCCACTCCCTAACCCTAGATCTTGTGCTTACCAGGGGTTATTACAATCTAGCTCAACACAGCTTGCATCCAGTCTTGGCACTTGCCAGCAGATGCTGCTACAAAGTCCAGCTGGCTCACATTTATCCTGGGTCCCACATGTGCCAGCAGATGCAGTAGCCTAACCTAGCCTGGCCCTGTCCAAATCCAGCCCACATTCTGGCCAATGGATGTTTCATCCCTGCTCAGCCAGTTCCACACTCGCCACCCAGTCTCAGTTCTCACTCTCACCAATGGGAGTAGCAGCCTATTAGGAGAAGCCCTGAAGCTCCCCTACTAAGCCTGCTCCCAGCCCCAGGTTTTGTGTGTGCTGGTGGGTGTTGCAGCCTGGTTTGGCATGGCCGGCCTCACCTCAGCATTTTCTGTCTGGTGCTGCAGCCTGGCTCTGCTGATCTGTCCCCAGTCCCGGCTCATGCTGATGCGTGCTGCAGCCTAGCCCAGTGCAGCCAGCCTCTAGTCCTGACCTTCATGTAACAGGAAGGTATTGTGGCCCATCCCGACTTGGCCTGCACCCCATCCTGGTTCTTGTACTTGCCAGTGGGTGCTGCAGACTGGCCCAGCCTGGCCAGACCCAGACCTGGCCCACACATACGTCCAGGAAATCATTGTCAAACTCTATGTCCTAATATTTTACCCCTGTGTTTTTTTCCCCTAGAAGTTTTATCATTTGGTTTTATGTTTAGGTCTTTAGTTTGTTTTAAATTGATTTTTGTATTTAGTATAATGCTTCATATTTCTTCTGCATGTGGATATGTGGTTTTCCTAACACCATTTGTTGAAAAGACTATATTTTTTCCTACCATGATCTTGGTATCCTTGCCAAAATCATTTGGACATATATCCAAGCATTTATTTCTGGGCATTGTATTTTGTATCAATGATCTATATATTTGTCTTTATGGCAATGCAGTGTGTTTTGAAATCAGAAGTGTCAGGCCTGCGATTTTGTCATGGGTTATTTGGTACCCATTGAAATGCTATATGAATTTTAAAAGAACAATCTTATTCTGTTTCTTCCACAAATGCCACTGAAATTTTGGCAGATATTTCAATGATTTTGTAGATCTCTTTGGATGTTGTAGATATTTTAACCACACCAGGACTTTGTGATCATTTGATTTCTTCTATTAGTGTTATGTAATTTCAACATACAAGTCTTCTTACCTTTTCAGATAAGTTTATTCCTAATTATTCTATCCTTTTTGATTTTGTATTAAATGACATTATTTTTATGTTTTCCTTTTCGTATTGACCATTGCCTTTTTTCAGAGAGAGAAGAGGGGAGAGAGAAAACAGACAGAGAGAGAAAAGGGGCAACAGAGACACACACAGACACAGACACACAGGCACACCGTAGACTGGAGCATTTAGGATCCAGGAATGCACACAGGTCTCCCTGGAGAGATACGATTATTAGAACCACTGTCCCTCCAGGGAACTGGAGTCAGAAACTGGAAATTGAACCCATGCACCGTGATGTGAAATGCAGGCATGTTAATTGCTAGTCTAAATGCCGGGTCCAGGTTGTGATCTGTTTATTTTAGATTTACAGAAAAGTTTCGAAGCTACTACAGGGAGCTCCCATATACCCCTCATCTTATTTTCCTTTTTGTTAACATCTTTCACATTTTCATGGAACTACCATGAAAAGGATAAAAACAGCATTGATATATTACCATAAAATGAATGCCAAATTTATTTGAATTTTATCTGTTTTTCTTCTAAGTGCCTTTTTTCTGTTGGAGGATTTAGTTTAGAGTGCCATACTCTATTTGTCATGTCTCTGCAGTTGCCTGTGATCTGTAATAACCTTTCATTTTTTTCTGGCCTTTAAAGTGTTAGGTTTTCTCATAAGATTCTCCCCAGTGTGGGTTTGTGTGATGCTTTTTTTAGTGAATCCACATAAATGATGGGTTTGGGGAAGGCCTCACGGGGATAAAGGACTCTTCTTGTCCTGTCTTAACAGAGGTTCACTGCCAGCCACATGGCATCACTGCTGACTCTGACTTTCAGCACTTAGTTCAGGTGCTGTGTGCTGAGTTTCTCCACTTCAGTTTCTTCCTGAGAGCAAGCTTCTATATGCAGCCCTCCCTCCAGAAGTGGGAGGTGAAGTTCTACCTGCTGGAGGGCAGCTGGTGGCTCATTTTTGACCATAATATATTGTTATCATTTTGTACTTCTATCTGATGATTTATCAGAGTTTATTTTTTTTCGCTATGAAATGCTTTACTGTGCCTTTCATTTCATGTTCATGATTCTAGTTTTGTTTTTTAGGGTCTCCCTGGTTTGATAACGGATCTTTTCTGACTTCCTTCATTCTAGCTTTGTTCTCTTTCCAGACTTTCTTCACAGTGCTACCACAGTTAGTTTTCTTATGTTCTTTTTAAAAAAGAGATTTATTTACTTATTTAAACATCAAAGTTAGGGGAAGAGACGGGGATATTCCATCCATTGATATTTTCCTCAGATGGTCACAATGGCTGGGGCTGGCCAGTCTGAAGCCAGGAGCCAGGAGCTTCTTCTGAATTCCACCTGTGAGTTCAGGAACCCAAGCCACTTGGGCCATCCTTTGCTGCACATTAGCTGGGAGCTGTATCAGAAGTGGCTCAGCCGGTAAATGAAACAGTGCTCACAAGGAATGCACGGCTTGCAGGCAGTTGCTTTATCCACCACGTCACACTCTGGCCCCAACTGTTTTATGCTCTACTTTGGGTTGCTTTGTTTTCTGAGCAAAAATAGCCTCTTGTTTACACTTTTCTCTCTGGATGATGAAGGCCTCTGAGATGATCTCTGTATCTGCAGCCTTGCATCTTCATCTCGTTAGAATTGGTTTTGTTTGCTTCTATCTCATATACACGTGGTTGGTTCTTACCTTTCCTTCCATTTCCCATTCATCTTCAGAAATTTTGCCCACCTTAATTTCCCAGTCTTAGTTCAAAATCCAAGAGTCAGGCTAGGTGTTAAAAGGTAAATGTCTAATGGACTCTTTGGGCCTCTGCCTTCTGCATCTGTAGATTCAAAAAACAGCAAATCAAAATTATTTGAAAACAATTTCATCTGTACTGAACATGTCAGCCTTTTCTCATTGTCATTAATTCCCTAAACATGTGTGTGTATCTAACCAATTATAATTAGTAGAGATTTTTCATCTGCCATTTTACTTCTCCCTTGGTGAATTCTTCTCTCTCAAGGTTTCTTCTTTGCTAACCTTGGTGTAATGAACTATGTATACGTTTTGTCATGAGGTTGCAATTCAGCTTTGCTGCTTACTTGCTATGAACTTGAACAAGTCACTTAGTATCTTTGTATCATAGTGCCTTTGTATGTATACATTTATATCTAAAATAATATAAAAAGTATTATTAGATATAAAAATAATATAAAAGATATAAAAAGATGCAAAAATAAAATAAAAGATATAAAAATAAAAGGTATTGTGTATCTTCATATTATAATGAAATGTATACCAAATTCAGGTCACAAATTCAGCCTGTA